TAATCTAACACAGCAAATTATTAGATACTCACAATGTGTACTTAATATGCTGAAATCAACCAGTTGTATAGAAATGTGCAAGTAGAAATTGTCATGGACAGCAACACTAATTAGCTAAATTTACAGGCAAGAATACAAAATGGAAAAACACTCAGATGCTCAATTTGTAAGACCTTAAACTGCAATCAGAAAAATGTATCAGCACTGTCATTTCAGCACTACACAGATTCTACCTATCAGTAACAATGACAGACTAAAGGGGCGTGTCTACATGTACGCCTTAATGTGCATTAGCTTATTTTAATGTGCATTAAAGCATCACCAAAAAAAACAGCACTATTTAGTCAATGCACATTAAAATAGGCTAATGGGCAGAGAAGCTAGAAGGAAGCACATTATTATTTGGAGAAGTCTTAAAGAATGTGTGACTTCAAGGTGGAATGCTTCTTCAACAAATAGAGTAGTAGAGTTATCTCCAAGGAAGAAGGAGAAGAAATCACTCTTGGAATTAAACCACTAGCATAATTCTACAAAGTGGGTAGTAAAATCTATATTTTAAGCCAAACAGTCGCCAATTTATAAGGGACAGCTGCAGCATATATTAGATTCTCACAGTATTGTCAAATCCCAGTATTAAAAAAATAAAAAAATCAGGCCACAAAAAAATCTTGATATTTTAAAATACTATATTTTCTACAGCATAATACATCTTTTACATGAAAAGGAAATCTAAGATTAAGGTGTGCCTTAATTAATTAAGGTGTGCCTTAGCTAATACATTTATGCATGAAAAAATCATTGAAATCTTTATAATACAAGCTGACTGGTATTCAATCAAATGTATGTTATGTATGTATGTTTTTTCCATAATTTTATCTTTGTTGGGGGAAGTGAGGGAAGGTGTCTTTAGCAAATACTGCTATAATTTCTGAGAGGATTTGAACCTGCATCTCTGACTTCCCAGTACAGTGCTCTAACCACTGCCCTTTGCATTTAATATGATCTTTAGAAAAAGTGGATGGAGAGTCACGTAAGGGAAAGCTTCTGCTTCACTGGGAGACAGGGACTCAGGTGATAAACCAAGGCACAGAGGCGTGTGCCCCCCAAAATTTCTGTGCTGACAATGGGGTGTAGATCTGCAGCCCCGCCACAGCCAGGGCCTGGCAGCAGTGGGGGTGGCAATGGCATGATTTCTATGCTGATGGCATGGCACAGGGCTGCAGGATGGCTAGAAAAGCATGGCCAGTGCCTGGCAGCACCAGGGGCAGGGGTGGCAGCATAGAGTTGTGCCCCCCCACTGTTAACACTTAAGCATCAGCTGTGTCAGGGCCTTTTCCCTGATATGTCAGAAGCTACACACTTTTTGGTTTGCTTTCCTCTCCTTGGCCCCACATACCTCCCTCCTGTGGCCACTAAGGGGCCAGCTTCTGAAGAAGAGTGCCTGTATAATGGCTGACCTGTGCCATGGTGGTCAGAGGGCTGTGCTAGCAGGACAGAGATGCACAGATTCAACCCCCTCTGTGAGAGTGGAGTTTAGAAGCCAGGTCTTCTAGTTTCCTGGGTGGGAAACCTAGCCATTTAGACTGGGGGATGGGGGGAAGCGGAAGAAGAGGACCGTCCTACCCTTTGACCCAGTGGCTGACTCCTATTACTCATTGTTTTTTTATCAACTACATTTTTGGGTGTTTAAAGGCCCCTGTGTGTCCAGAAGGGGCATGCATATGTATGCAGGCAAAGTGCAGCCTACTGCCATATCCAGTTTGTGTGTGTAGATGATTATGTACGCACACAAGCTATGTAGTCATTGTGGCAGAAAGCCACCTTGGTTTCTCCCCAAAAATCTCTGCCCTGTGACACTGTGATTTAAATCTCTGTGCTGTGACCATTCAATTAGGATGGGTCCAGCACACAGGGGACCACACCCTCAGCCTGTCTCTTTAGGGAACT